TGGTTTCTTCCTCACAGTTCCCCTGGTCCTCTTGCTCACTTGCTCCCCCCACCCCCCACTATAATGAACCAGACTCCAGATATAGTACATAGCAGATAGCAGAAAAAGTAGGCAAAAACATTGAGGCATGGAGCTGCAGGGTCTCTTTCTGTTGCTTCATCTCCCAAGCCAACTGGGACATCTTAAAGGCGCAGTGGAAATCTCCTTACTTGTAGCCTAGCAGATTCAGAGGGTGATGGACGGACTATTGGGTTGCACTCTACATGGATCTGCCCTTGAAGACAACTCAGAAACTCTAGCTGGTACTGGAAGCCGCAGCTTGATTGCTATCCAGAGACAGAAGTTATATGTATATTATACCTACTGCATCACTCCATCGGTTACCACCTAGTTTCTGGGTTCAAGGTGCTGCTTATTACTCCCAAAGCTCTTCATGGCCTTGGACCCAGAGATCTGCAGGACTACCTCTCCTGCTCCACTGCAGCAGCTTCACTGATCCTCCTGAAGGTGCCATGCTGAAAATGGGTAAGTCAGCAGCTGCCCGTACCAGAGCATTCTCTGTTGTGCCTCTCACTTGGTGGAATACCTGCCTGACAGAGTCAGGAAGACTTCCACACTCTTATCATTCTACAGAATGCAGAAAACAGAATTATTCAGGAGGGCATTTTTATAAAGGGAATATGGTCAGAATGACATTTTTAATACAGAGAGTGGGATGTAGTGAAAATGAATTCTTCAGAGGGCATTTTTACAAAGAGAACAGGATTCTAACTTAAATGTCTAAAATTTTAGGCAGTTTTATTCTTGGCAATGTTTACTGTATGTATTATGCTGTTTGTACAGCATTGTCTTTTAATCTTGTAACTGGGTGGTTGTTTGTTTGAACTATTTGTAGAATGTATTACACTGGTTTTATTGCATTGGCTTCTTATTCTGTAATCCCCCTTCAGTCTCAGTGAGAAAGGTGGACTATACATGAAGTAAATAAATCAATAAATAGCCATCATCTCTTGGTGATCACAAAATCAAGGGATAGCTTGTATATGGGAAACAACAAATGAAATACCAGAGACAATATTTTTCACTGAGGGTGTTCACGCGTTCATTAAATCACCAAGGGATGAGATATCCAGTTAGATAAGGCTGTATTTCAGTCTCTTGCTTGTAAGGATTGTTGTGAGATGAAATTTAAAAGATCTACAGTCCACCTCAGGTGCAATTTCCTCTCTGCCCCCATACTTCTACACTAACATCTGCTAAAAAGATGCAAACTGCTGTTCCTGGAAACTCACAAATTTTATTTGCAAATCCTTGGGAGTACTATAAAATATTTTGGCCATCACACAGTTTAACTGCAGTGGGGAAACATACTTGCAACACAGAGGATTTTAATTGCAAGAAATAACAATAAAAGATTTTAAATGTTCATTAAGTTAAAGACAAGCTAAAGAAAAAGACTGAAGGTGCCAATGTTCTTTCTGCACAAAAGATGTTACCATAAAGACAGTAGGGAACAGTGGATGCAGATAAGAAGAAATGAAATATAAAACATACTAATATCCAGGGCTATTTTGGGACAGGAACGCACAGGAACAGAGTTCCGGTTGGCTCCTGAGTTGGCCACGCCCAGCAGGAACTCATTAGCATAATAGGCCACACCCAACAGCAGAAACTCATTAGGATTGGTTACATTAGGGGTGTGTGGCCTAACATGCAAAGAAGTTCCTGCTACAAAAAAGCTCTGGGTTTTGACAACAAACAAGGTAAACAGAATAAGAAGCAAAAGGTGGGTGTGGCTGGATGACCACATTTCTGGTAACATGGGGGTGTGGCCTAATATGCTAATGAGCTGTGCTATCAGGGGTGTGACCTAATATGCTAATGAGTTTCTGCTCTTGGGTGTGGCCTATTATGCTAATGAGTTCCTGCTGGGCTTTTTCTACAAAAAAAGCCCTGCTAATATCTAAAATCTATGTCAGGAAAAAAATTAGGAGGATAGCTCCAGCAACTATGGTAAATAATAGGTTTGTTTGCTCATATTGTTTTGCCTGGAGTCTTGTTCAATAGAACAGACGACTGATGTTTTCTTGGGAAAGAGAAAGCCTACAGAATTACACCTGAAATAGTATTCTACTTCATACTGAATTATCTCAGTGGCTGATATCTCTAGCATTTTCTGATAGGCTCGTGACCTGTATTTTTGCTTCCTATCATCCTCAGCTACCTCTCCTGCAGACTACTTTAAGTGGTAGTTCTGGAATAGTTATATTTGATTTTATAGTTTATTCCAGAATAAAGGCAAAAGTTCGCAGAGTCACTGGTCTGATAAATTTTATAATTAAACTTTAGACGGAGAAGAGACTTCTCTATCTGTTTTCCTAATCCTGTCCCAGGAGTTCTTAATATATCCTATTTACGATTACTGCCTCTTCCATTTCAATTAAAAGGGAATACGGGAAAGGCAAAATTCTGAAAATCTATTCTGTCCTTAGAGTATATTGTTCCTTATTGTCACATGCATACACTTTTGATTCTGGGCATTTATTCAGTTCTAAAATAACCTCCTACAGTCATTTCTGTAGTTCCTGCTGTATTAAGTATTTGATCACATTCATGCTTTGTGCTCCTTAGTTCTTTTATCTGTATACTTCTCTTTGTACTGCCCTATAATTCTCAGTGCTATAAACTACTGCCAGACTTGCTTTGATCTTTTTTCAGGAGCCTCCTCTATTCTACCCTCTATCTCAATCTAAATGTCAGGAATGTATTAACAATTTCTAAGTAACAGTCATAGCTTCCCTGGCCGGCTGCATTTTGTGACTGGTTTGTTTGTACCTGAAAACTAGCTGACTCAAAACTAGCTGAAAGTTTCCTTTTAAATATCTGCACTTTCTGATATTTAACATCTTGGCTTCTATGCAACTGAGTCTGCTTATTGATTCAGGAGGTAGAACTTCTCCCAGACCATGAATTAGCAGACTCTTGGATTTGATTAAATCTAAGGTCCTTTCCTTCCACTCTGTGCACTGGGCTATCTATGACATTTTTATCTTCAAGGAGCTTGGAGTGGCACACCTGGCCTCTCCCTGCAGCTTCATGGAGATGTGGAACAGTAAGGGGAACAGAAAAGAATCCTGCAGGATCTATATTTCATATGTTACCAATCCAAGCAGTAGTCTTTTAGCAACATCTTCAGGAACTAGCTGTTGTGGTAAGAATGGAATCACCAGCGTGAAAGGTCCCTGATAATAGAGTTGCCAGGTCTCCCTGGTTACCAGTGGGGGTTGGGGGGATAGGA